CTCATTTTGTTCCGCTAACTTATAAGACGTCAAACACTTTCTTATCTTGTTGTTCATTTCTTTAAATGATTCTAATATATATATATATATATTGTTATATTTATTATACATTTATTCATAAAAAAATTTTCAAGCCATACAGAATATATTAGAAAATATTTAAAAAAACAAGATAAAAAAGTGTTTGCGTGTTTCTATAAATATAATATATTTTCCATATTTGTTTTCTAATATATTCTGATATATAGTTTTCTAATATATTCTGTATGGCTTGAAAATCTTTTTATGAATAAATGTATAATTATAACAATATATATTGTTATAATTATATATTTCAAGCCATACAGAATATATTAGAAAACATTTAATGAAATGAACAACAAGATAAAAGTTTGCGTGTGTCTATAAATATAATATAAATTTTTACTTATATTATTTAGACCATAAAACATACCTAGTTAAAGAAAAAAGAAAATATATAAAATGTAACAAGCCTTGTTACGAAAAGGTTATTATATTTTTGCTGCGCTTGAGAAATTAAAATAAATATCTATTATTTCTTATAGTTTTTGAGGCGAGAAATCCGTGATGCTAGTTAAAAATTGCGTTACAATGCCAGAATACACAAAAAATTGAGTTTAAAATCAGAAAAGTATGTTGTGTTGCAAATATTCGCAAGATAAGTCGCTCTGCTACATGAATCAATGATACACAGTGTACACAGTTTTAATATTAAAAATATAAAATATCTCATAAAAATGCTATATTTAGTAGCGAAAATATCAAACGCAAATACACGAAAACTTTCCATTGCGTCTAATGTTTTTGCTATTAAATATAATATTTTTATAAGATAGTCTATATTTTTAAGATATATAGTTTAATTTCTTTAAAATCTTGTTTTAGAAAAGAAAAATAAAGAGTACAACTTAAGCTCAGAACTCTTATAAAGTTCATTATTTTTACATTCTTCTCATAAGAATATAAATGTTTCATAAGAATATAAATATAATGTAAATTTAACTATAACATAATATACTAATAAAAAATAATCATACAATTAAAATTTTTTGAAGATGTTATGAGCACCCCAACTTACGTATCTTTAAACCGCTTACCTATTTAAAGATTAAACTCAATTGTTTATGTGTTCTCGTCGTCTGATACAATTTTAACTAATATCATCAAATTTGCCTCAAAAACTATAAGAAGTAAAATAGATATCATTTCTTATAATTTTCGAGACGAGAAATGCGCACTGATGATGCTATTTAAAATATTCTCGAGCATAACAAAAACAGGCCTTTTTGTAACACCCTTCTTTAAAATCTGATAATTTCTGAAACAGATCGCTTTAAGTAAAGATATCAGATTTCTTTATATACCAGAACGTGTATGTGTATGCGTGCGTTTGTACGTATTAAGATTTTATCTCGAAGTACATTATTTAACGAAGAAATTGACCTTGCCGTAATAAACACGTTATGCAGATTTAAATGGTCCAGATCGGAGCTTATTCCCATTTCGGAAATATCGTACATTATCAAGCACAGAGATCGTATGTATAAAAATGAGTCAACTCATAAAAATATAAGTTTATGCAGAGCAGAGTTTACAATACAAAATCCTTTTTAGTATGAAGTGTAACTGATTTTCATAAACGTGAATATAAAAAAACCGTTACTAGCATAAAACCCCCTATAGGCTCAATTTTTCATTTGCTGATTAACTTAATTGTGGTTAGACTTAATCTGATTATAATGTAAAAATTATATTTTTCTATCTATGATTAATCACTGATAGTTTTCTAGTGAATAGCTTTTAAAGTTATCTCTATGAAATCTGTTCAGTGATTAGTTATATGTAGAAAAACACAATTTTTATATCATCCTCAAGTTAAGTAAGATTAAACAAGTTAATCAGATAATGAAAAACCGGACGATAGAAATCCAATACCAGCAATAAATTTATTACTGAAAAACAATAATCAATTATTTATTTGGAGTACTTGAGGTGAACAACTTTGCTTCTAATGCTTTTAATGGGAGTTTTTTAGTGCTTTTAATGTTTAAAATACGTAATTAATTATTGTCTTTTAGAATTAAATTGGCCAATGATATAGAGTGAATTTGATCACTTATACTGGATCAATGCACATTAAAAACTGCTTTATGTAAATTATCTAAATACAGTGGCATAATAGAATCAACTTTGCTAATCAAATAATACATATATACTCCATTAAATAATGACGTATTAATGATTAGGCTAACTTAAGGTTTGTCCTTTTTCGAATAGTTCTGAATTAGTTCTAAACTAATGCAATAAGTAAGAGTGAAACAAACTATATCTGTTTTGCTCTAATTTATTGCAGGATACATCAGAACTTGGGGTGGAAAAAGAACAGACCTTTAAGCCATGCATAGGGGCGGCAAATTTAAAGGGGCAACATTTTTCAAAGAAATTTCTTAAAAAATTGCCGGTTTTTACCGAACGCAAATAATTAAGAAAATTGCCCATCGAAGCAATAATCAACAGAATAGAGAATTCCATTAATTTAGGTTGTTACATTTGAAGCTTGATTAGAATGGCAACGATTTAATTGCGTAAGAGCGGAATGAATCCCAATCCAGCTATTATCAAACAATAAGAGCCAAATTGTTTGTATTGTTTGCACTTTTTGCACTCAACGCCTTCGCTTTCTCCCTTTTTAACGTAAATATAAATCTGACTTGTTTTAAACGCAAAATTCTTTAAGGATTTTAAGCAACGCAAACAAACCTATAGTGACGATATCATTATTAGACATTTAATCTTTCAAAATACTTATACGCTTTTACATTTAACTTTGCTAATTTCACGTACAGCAGCTTTCAGTATGCATTACTCCAGTGCAAATTGACGGAATTCGGCTATTCGGAATGTAGAACTATTGTGGGTGCAAACTGTGTATAAAATATCGATTTTTTCAAAATGGTGCCAACTTCACACCGGCCGGAATTCGCTACTAGATTTTTGTAACAGACAATTTCAAAACTCCGCTCGCACGCTCGTTTGTTTTTCAAAATATCTATCGACGCCAATTAACGTCACGATCGTGACAGATGATCGCACGATCATCGAAAGATCATTGAACACAAAACCCTACGCACTTACTTGATAAAACTAAGCTGTCCTGTGGTTGGTGTCGGTTGGTTGTTGCCGGTGGTGGACCAAGGTCGTTGTGCGTGGTACGTCCGCACGTAAACTTAATTTTTGCTCTTTCCCCACTGGTAACAACTCCACACTGTGGCACTGCGTATTACCGTGTATGTGTATCTCGCGAGTACCCGGGGAGAGACCGGGAGACCGGGATACATTGATCTCTCGGAAGGAACGCGCGAACGGAAACGGAGACGACGCGACGGGAAGCGAAGTGAAGAGAACCGAAAGGGAGGCGTAGGCCGCGTAAAACAGGAAGAGAGAAAAGGAGAGAAAGAAAGAAAGAGAGAGAGAAGAGAGAGAAAGAGAGAGAGAGAGTGACGGACACGGAGAATGGCCCTGCTCTGACACAGATCACTGACCAGCTTCACTTCGGAACTGACGCGATACTGACTCGCTGCCGCGCGACACAACCGGCTCCGCGGCGCTCGGTCGTTTCCGTTTACGTTCGGCTCGGCTCGTTCCCCACTATCCGAATACACACGTATACGACTCGATACGGCGCGTGTTCGTTTACTGCAAAGGTGTGTGTGACGCACATATCACGTCGCGCAGGGGCGCGGGACCGTTGCGCGTGTACATGCGTGTACACGCAGTACGTACGTCAAGGTAACGTGTGTGTACGAAGGTACGGATACGCCTACGCAATTTAGGCTGCAGACGATAATGAAGAACTTGCTCGTGCTTTACGCGAGCGCGCCGATACCGCGGAGATAGAACTTTTTGCGTTAAAACTCTTCCTTACAAAGCACCGGAAAACTAGTTACATCGTTCATTTGCTACGATAACGATATAATTAAAAAAGTAAAACTTTTTGGAAAATAAGTTTGAGTGTTTTCTGTTCAAATTTTGTAATATTAATTTTAGAACGCAATTTTGGTGTAATAACTGATTATAGAGGAATACAATAATTATGTTCTTTTGAAGTACGTTTTTTCCTTCTTTTTTCATATTTCCGTTCTTTTTTGCAAACAGTTAAAAAATAACAGGTTCTTTAGTTACATCGTTATTGTAACAAATGAGTGATAAGTTTGTAGATTTATAGAAAGTTGATTTTTTTTTCGGACTTTTTATTTTCGATTTAACAAAGATTCGGTTGGGAATCTCAGTTTTGTGTATGTAATTTTTGAATATTACACATTTCGATGTAATTACGTCAAACTTACTTGTTTTAATATTTATGTTTATTATTGCAAAATTCATATTAATTTTTCAAAACTTGATATTTTAATGAGTAATTTTAAAACATGGTAGTTTCTATGAAACTGGCAAAATACAAAGGAAATCTTATGGCACAATTATTTGATCACAAATATATATCATATTACACTTTATTTAAAAATCAAAACGAATAATTTTTAGATTTTGTTTTACATTTAAATAAATTTTATACATTTTATGCAGATATAATAAATTTTGAAAAATGCACGTTTTTATACTTACTGCAATAAATTTTATTCTGCTTAAATAATTCGCGTTTAATACAATTCGCGTTGTTTTATGCAATGAAAAATTTGTACTTATAACTACCAACGCGAGATTTATGAATTGATAATGATAAACTCGCGAGCACATTATATTGCGCGCATTATGGAATTATACAGCATTACGGGCTGTTCCGACGTTAAGTACGATATTCAAGGATATAATAGAATGCGCAGGAATATAAGGGTCTACACTAATGTCCGTAAAACCGTTACAATAAGGGTTGAATGCACATGATGGGTAAAAATATGATGTATACAAAGTAATCTACTTATATCTTCCTACAATTTCACATCTTTCGGTAATAATCTCATCAGATATCGCTTAATAATTTTAAAAATATTTATAAAAATATTCTCAGATAACTTCTCTCTCTTCGTAACAAGTATAAGAAGAATGTTAAAGTATTTCCTAATATCAAATGATATTAATTCATTTTAATTTGAATGCCTCTTTACTCTAATTAATTTTGATTTAAATATACATTAATCGGCAAAATAAAATCAATTATTAATTAATATAAAAATAGGAGCATTATTTTGAATTAAAATATAATAGAAGAATAATAGAAGAAGAAACTGCTTTGTTTCCTTTTTCTTTTTTCTTCTTTTAAATTCATAATTTAATTATTTATAAACGTTATTTATAAAAACTATAGAATGTAATATACAAAGCATATCGGGAGACTCTGCAGTTTCGACGTTAAACCAAGCACAGCGATATGTTATGGCGCGAGGCTGACTATTAAGTTTCCTTTATCCGGCGATTTTTAAATTCGCGATTATTGGATCTCAATAAGAGCTGAACCGATCAAGTTCTATGTACACTCAATTGATAGCTTGCACTTGGATTGTTTAATAAGTGCACTTTTATTTTCTACGTGTCCTACGAGTGGAGATCTTGACGAGGAATCGGGTCGAGAGTTTTCTACAGCGATATAGTATAGCGATCCGCGCGGTTGTAAGATAATTATGCACGGAGAGAATTTTCTTTTAAAATTTACCTTGAAAATATGATAGTTGTGGTAAACAATATTTTAAAGATTTTTACCATACACTTCAGTAAAATTGATCAAACTTATTTCGTACTTTATTGTTTTATTAATAAATGAGAGAGATTTATATTAAAATTCTTCGAAATACAATGTTGTTCCACGACTGTCATATTTTCAGGGTAAATTCTAAAAAAAAATTCTCTCCGTGTGGAAATGAATTTAGATCATTTTGCGAGTGTACATCTCGACTTTCTTTCATGATATGACCTGGCCTCGACAACGATGATCCCACTCAACACCCACCAATTTTCTCCATAATTTTCGTGCCTGCGTGTAAATATCCAACGGTACGTTACTACGAAACGGTACGATGCAACATATAATGTCGATCGTATAGTCATCCCAAAAATGAAATGCGATTTTTTACACCCACATTCAAACAGAAATCGAACTTTTGTAGCATTGAGGAAGCAAACACTCTAAGTTCGTTCAGGTTCATATGTTTCGCGTGTATCTTTTTTATTATCCAAACTTTATGATTGATACATAAAAATGATGGTTTCGTCGAAGTTTAAAAACTTAGTTACACAAAAAGAATGATTTTGCTGAAATATCTAAAAATTTAGCTAAATACAAATCTGACAATAATTTTGTTAGTCTATCAAAATATTGATGTCAAAAATTCAAGCATGATGAGTAATAAGCTGCAAAAAATTCTGATATTCTAGCAATCAGCTTAAGCATCCTACATGATTATTTTGATTAGTTCGACAAATTTATTTTTAGATCTATATCTGGTTGAATTTTTAGATTATACTTCAGTAAAAAAAATCGTTCTTTCCATATAGATTTAGATCTGAAAATCATTTCGTTGAGCCATCAAAATAAGTCAGTACACACTGGTTGAAATGTCGAAACTTTATGTAGAATTGCTCATCACGCTTGAGATTTTTGTACGCAATTATTTTGATGACTCAACAAAGTTATTTCCAAGTCTGTCTGGCTTTTAAATACTTCAGCAAAATCGTTCTTTCCGTGTAAAATTTTCTTTAAGTGCAAAGACTCGTCTACAATACGACGATTAATGATAGTACGCTGTTATTTATAATAGGCCTGGTTAGGTTTGAAGAAGCCATTCTAGCGGTTCTTCGACGTGCGTTTTAAACGGGATGAGTTATCAGTCAAATACTAACGTCGGTACACAAGGTTTTTAACACTTGACTACTCCTTAAATTAGTCTCGGCGGAGCTATTCAGAGATGTGAAAGGACCGTGGAGAGTCGCGAAAGCGTGAGGTGACGGAAGCCGGGAGAGACGTTTGTATAGATGACGTCTTTCGTGCGACAGCAGCTTTACGAGGAGAAAAGGGAAGAAAGAGCAACCGGGAAGAATGAAAGGACGATGTGTGAGAAATTGGACAAGGACACGGGTGGGCCACCGAGAGCCGATTCCAAGCCCGTGTGCGTTACCCAGCTCGCGCGAGTCACGCATGGCTCGTATTTAACGGCATTATACTTGCGCCCGCGAGGTCACGATTCATGCATAATTTATCTGAAAGCACGGTGAAAAATAGTTTTGACCTCAAGGGCCAGGCCGGGAAAGGCGTTTGTCCGCCACGCACTCGGCTGCTGTTACTGCCGCTGCCGTCTGCATAGAAAGTGGCTGGCCCTCGTAGTGTTACGTGCGAGGGTGCGCTGGACTTGCAGTCCGAGTTGCAGTCCGATTGGCTAAGGCCGCTGTTAGAACCGTTCCCGGTGTTAATGGCATTGCCCGTATGATCTCTCGATGCTTACGAGCGACGAAGACGCGTATACTCACTTGATACGAACCTACCCACGATTTACAAACGTATGATTCAAAGTCAAATGCTTTGTACAGGATGCGCTGGGCTGTTAAAGTCTAGACACATTAATCAAAAGCTCAATGATAAAAGGAAGACAGAAATTTAATTATGATGAATAGCCAAAGTTTTATTATCTGTGAAAGAAAATACTTTCTATTAGATTTAAGAAAACAAAACGTTTTCATTAATCGAGTCAAATTGTTTTTGATTCTGTTTCATTTATTTGATCATATAAATGTTATGACTTAATTTTCACAATTTGATTATTTGTACGCGTGTACTGTGCCAAATGTCTTTAAGGTGTAACGTTATAGTTTTAAATGGTTCCGCGTAATCCGGCAGTATCGTCGATAGAATCTTCTCAAGCCGTGTTATCACCTGCCATAGGAACTTGGTACCGCTCGCTTCAATGGCTTCTTAACGCTACACAACGCTACAGAGAAACCTGTTTGTCATGTATCTCGCTCTTCGGGATATATTAACAGCATTCTGTCGCTCACATGCAATGGTCTAGTACCCAAAGGAAACCATGTTTCTTGCTCTCTTTCGCTTGCGTTGCGTCGACAATGAAACTTCCTGTCCCACCGTATAAAATATACAATCTACCTTGAAATCATCGTGAAAAATCTGAACAATGTGCGCAACGAGCATGTCATCGTGTATCATCTGCTTCTTTAATTAGCGATATTTAAAAGCATAACAAAATGGTTTTTTCTAAACATTTATTTATGATTATGCCATGAGGTTTTTCTTGTATTTCGCTACTTCCACAAAGAACTACTCTTATCTTTTTAAATCGTAAATTAAAATAAAATCGAGCTATTCCCCGAGTTGTTTGTCTTAGTACACACGATAATTTTTTAATTTCTTTCTACATAGATCTGAGTTAATTTTTCTCACTTTTACAAGTACCTATACAAAAATTACTAAATGATTCTTACATACATACATATATCTTAATAATATTTGTAAACTTGTGTATTTAAAAAAAAAGATTTAAAAAAGAAAAGGAAAGCTATATATTATTTAGCCAGGTGCTTT